AGCCCCCCCCCAAATTGTCCTCCCCTGCAGGCCTGGTCACCCCCAACTTCCCTCCCCTGCCGGCCCAGTCCCTCCAAACTGCTCTCCCCTGCAGGCCTGGGTTCCCCCACAGCTGCCCTCCCCTGCAGGCCTGGGTCCCCCCACAACTGCCCTACCTTTCAGGCCTGGTCTCTCCCAACTTCCTCCCCTGCCGGCCATCTTGTGGCAGCCATCTTGTGTCCACATGGGGGTGGCCATTTTGTGTGTTGGAGTGATGGTCAATTTGCATATTACCTCTTTATTATATAGTATTATTGATTATATTCCCTATGTTGTACTTTACATCCCCTTGACTATTCTGTAACTACCAATTTGTACTTCTTAATCCCTTCACCTTTTTCACTCAGCCCCCCAACCCACATTCCCTCTGGCAACCATCAGTCTGTTCTCTGTATCTATGAGTCTGTTTCTGTTTTGTTTGTTCACTTATTTTGCTCTTTATATTCCACATACAAGTGAAATCATATGGTATTTGTCTTACTCTATTTGACTTATTTCACTTAGCATAATAGTCTCTAGATTCACCCATGCTGTCATAACTGGTAAGATTTCATTATTGTTATGGCCGAGTAATATTCCATTGCAAGTATGTACTACAACTTTTTTATCTATTCATTTATTGATGGGCACTTAGGCTGCTTCCATATCTTGGCTATTGTAAATAATGCTGCAATGAACATGAGGCTGTGTATATTCTTTTGAACTAGTGGTTTGTGTTTCTTTTGATATATACTCAGAAGTGTAATTATTATGATTATTCTTTATGACTCCCCTCTCTAGAAGGTAAGCTCCATGAATGTAGTGATCTCTATTTTGTTGAAGTACAAAAATACTGTCTGGTATGTAGTGGGTACTCTATAAATGTTTGTTGATTTAATAATAGGACTGATAATTTCTGCTACTTTTTATAGTGCTTTATAGTTTTTTCTAAGTGTTTTCACATTACATTTTTTCCAAATTACCATATAACATGGGTATGTTAAAAATAACATAATTTATTATCTCTAACATTTTTTTAAAAATTACATCAGCCCAGCTGGTGTGGCTAGATGATTGAATGCCAACCTACAAATCAGGTTTGATTCCCAGTCAGGGCACATGCCTGGGTTGTAGGCTCAAACCCCAGTGTGGGGCATGCAGGAGGCAGCCGATCAATGACTCTCTCTCATCATTGATGTTTCTGTCTCTCTCTCCTTCTCCATTCCTCTCTGAAATTAATAAAAAATATATATTTTAAAAGAAAGTTGACATCCAGAGAGGCAAAACAATCTACCCAAAGTCAGGAAGCTGGAATGTGGTAGAACAGGAACTCAATTCTGTGCTCTCATCCCAGAACCTCCAACTTTACTGCAAAACCCTAGTCCTTAAGGAAAGGCCTTCCAGATTTTTTTTTTGTTAGAACAGAAGCATGTCCTGCTTATGCCATTAACCCAGTGCTTTGAAGTTGAATGTGTGAATTTTCCAGATCATGGAAATATATACACAAAAAGTCATCTAAAGACCCGAGTTTGTGTGGGGGAATCACTATGTGAATGTCAGAGAAAATGATGCCATACCCAAATGGTGCTCTCTCTAAGAAAGAAAGCAACATTTGAATATACCAGCTGCTCAGTAGAATAAATCATTTGTTTCTTTCAGCCAGCTCTGCCTTCATTTTGTATTACATATTAAACTGCACAATTGTCCAAAGCAACTTAACAAAGCAAAGGGGGAAATTGTAATCCAAGAAGGCATCTGCTACCTAAAGTGCACTTTAGTGGCCTCTTCCACTGTGCCACCACCTAAGTCACTGATGGACTATGTTGAAAGCTCTCCCCCAATTGCCACTGCCATACATGAAGAGCAAAGACTGTCCCTTTAAATGTACCACTGAAGATGAAGCTGGTGTTTACTTGGCAGGGAGGAGGGGGGAACAGGATACTTCATGCTTGGCATACTGCTACCATTGGCATACAATCCAGAAGCTGCTACATTCTGCAGGGGTGGCAACTATTTTGTCCTCAGTATAACATAGTGGAAGATACAGCTATATTTACATACATGCTTTTTAACAGAGACACTTGTCACCCCTGGTAAGCTCACAGGATGCTACAGAAATGGCACAGCCAGGAAAAGGCAAGCCAAGTCCTCAGTTCCTTCTGGCAGCTGAATCCACAGTATTAGCGAGGATGGTGTCTGATCTCTTTCCCTCATCCTCAGAATGTCATTACAACAAGGATGTATGTATCCAGTAACCCTCCCAAGAATCACTAAGTAGACCAGTCTTGTCTTCAGTGCCTTTGTCCTTTGACCACAGCAAATCAAGTGGTTGAGGCTTGACTCTACTACAAAATCAGCTCTGTGACCAGACTCAATAAATATCCCCTAATGCAATGGTTCTCAACATTGGCTGCACATTAGAATCCTCCAGAATGAGGCCCAGAAATCAGGATTTTAAAAAGATCCCCAGGTGATTCTAATGTGCAGCCAAGGTTGAAAACCACTGCCCTAATGAAAGAGCAAGCATAGATTTAATAAATAAACCTCAGACTGAAAACAGAAGTGTAACACAGGTGCAATCTACCAAATGCTTGATGGATTCAGTTAATACATGGACACAAACATTATTGAAACATGAAGACATCAACAACCTCAGTCACACAGACAGGTACTTAAGGTTTTGATACTAGGGAAGGATAGAAGAAAGAAATTATTTTTAGGGGAAGAATATGGGGTTTGGAGGCAGAGAAGCCTGTGTAGAAGTCTAAAGGTTTTCTTACTTTGGGCAGGTCACTTAAGCTCACTGTGATTTACTTTCATGATCTCAAAATAGGATGATGATAGTACGTTAAACAATTACTACTTTTATGATTTATGTAAGTTTTAATTATGGGGAGATGCCCCTTTACTTTAGATTTTTAAAAAAGAGCACGACTTTTGAATTTAAACATAGATTTAAACTCTACCACTGACATTAACTGTATGGCATCTCTCTCCAAACCTGAGTTTATTCACCTGTATTTTAAGGAGGAGGATGATCTTATTCCAAATGGTTGCTATAATAATAAAAAATAATAATGTTGAAAATGTGTTTTTTAAACTATAAATTCCAAGGCAAATAAATGTTTTCTTTAAAAGGCCTCAACTAAAGTGACCAAAGACTCTGGTTTGCCAGGGACCAGGGGATTTTCCAAGTCCTAGAATTTTCAGTGCTAAATATGTAGTCTTGGGCAAATGGGAATAAGTTGGTTACCCTAGTCTTGAGTAATCCATAACAAGTCTTGACTAGTCCTTAACAAAGTCAAGGGCCTGAATAGGCCTTAACTGAGATAGCCTTAACTACGCAATGACTAGATATTAACTAGGTTTAGTCCTTGGGTAGGCCGGGACTAGAGTCTGACCAAACATTTACTAGGTTTAGGCTCTAGCAAGGCCTTAGACCCAGGCAGTGCTTTAATTAAACTCAGATTAGGTCTTCTCTATATTTATACCTTAGATAAGCCTTAACTATTCTTTGGCTAGATTTTAAATAGGCTTAGTCCATGGCTAGACCTTAACTGGGATTCAAATAGATCTTAACTAGAATTGAGCACTGACTAGATTTTAACTGGCTGATTAAGCCTTACCTCAGATTTATCCCTAACTAGGTCTTAATTGGGCTGGCAAGGCCCTACTTTGGCTAAATCTTAATTAGGCTTAGGGACTGGCTACCCCTTAACTTGGATGACTAGGCCTTAATTAGACTTCATTAGACTAGGCTTTGACTTCACCTTAACTCATTTGGGACTAGGACTTAACTAGGTTTAGTCACTGGCTAGGCTTTAATTAGATTCTGAGGAGGACTTCCCTAGATATAAGCCCTGGCAAGGCCTTAACTGAGCTAAGTATTCACTAGGTTTAGACCTAGCAATCCCTAAACTAGACTCTGAATATGCCTTTTTAAGATTTAGGTCCCAGCTAGGCCTTAACTACACTCTGACTAGAACTTAATTAGGTATTGGCACTGGCTAGAGCTTAAATAGATTCTAGCTAGAGCTTAACTATGTTTAGACCCTAGATAACCTTTATATTCCCAGAAACCAAAAACAGTGATTCAGAACAATATATGTACCCCTATGTTGATTGCAGTGCTATTTACAACAACCAAGATTGAAAAGCAGCCCAAGTGTCCATGAGTAAATCAGTAGATAAAAAAGTACTGGTTCATTTACACAACTGAATACTATTTGCTGTAAAAAAAGAGAGAAATCTTACCTTTTGCAACAGCATGGATTGACCTGGAGATTATTATGCTAAGTGAAATAAGCCAGTCATAGAAAGTAAAATACCATATGATTCCACTTATATGTGGAATGTAAGAAACAAAATAAACAAAGAAAATATAAACATTTATCTTTCCATCACCATTTATTTACCCCTTTACTCTCTTCTACTTCCTCCTAACCCCCTCCACTCTGGTGATCACCAACTAAGTGAAATAAGTTGGTCAAAGAAAGACAAATACCACATGATTTCACTTCTATTTAGAATCTAAAGAACAATATAAATGAACAAACAAAACAGAAAGAGATTCACAGACACAGAGAACAGACTGATGGTTGTCAGAGAGGAGGGGGTTTGAGGGACTGGGTTTAAAAGGTGAAGGGATTGAGAAATACAAATTAGTAGTTACAAAACAGTCGGGGGGATGTACTATGTAAAGCATAGTAAATATAGTCAATAATATTTTAATAACTACGTATGGTGCCATTTGGGTCCTGGAAATATCAAGGGGACCACTTTGTAAAGTATATGATTGTCTAACCACTATGCAGTACACTCGAAACTAAAATAAAATAATATTGAATGTAAACTGTAATTGAAACATAAAAAAAGAAAAGATTGAGAAAAGAAGAGAAGAAAATACACAGAGGACAGGGTGATATGAAGACTCAGGAAGAGTGGAGCAATGCAACAAGAAACCAAAGCATGCCGAGGATTACCTGTAGCCCCCAGAAGCTGGAGAAAAGCATCGAATGGATTCTTCCTCGGAGCCTCCAGAAGGAACCAAACCTGCCACCACCTTGACTTCGGACTTAAGACCTTCAGAACTGGGAGGAAATAAATTTATGTTGTTTTAGGTCAAACAAAAGAAAAGCTGATCTGTTCAACTCCTTCTAGGACACCTATATTTTGTAACAAGTTTGTAACAGATATAAAAGAAAGTACAGGCAATGTATCTACAGCTTTTGAACATAATGTGCAATCAGCGGTTAAGAAAAGAGATAGCTGGCACACTACAATTGCAACAAAGGGAGTAAAAGCATCACAAGGCCAAACTCTGAGCACTTGGTGAACTCTCCACATTTTTTTTATCAGGCCTTATGTGAGGAAGCAGCCAGTTTGATGAATACTGGCTTGGGCTGTTAAAGGATATTGAAGTCCTTAGTTGATGATTCAAGAATGGGATGATGAATGCAGCACAGAGCATGAACCATGAATTCCTGTCTAATGGTTTCATCAATATCCTAGCAGTGAGAGATTGGCCCCCAAAACCTTGCTATATTAGTATAAAAATATATACTCCCAGACCAGTACAGTCATGCAACTTTTAATGACAGCAATACATTCTAAGAAATGCATCATTAGGCAACTTCAACATTGTGAAACATCATAGAGTATACTTTCACAAACATAGATGGTATATATAGCCTACTACTCACCCAGGATATATGGCATAGCTTATTGCTCCCATGCTACAAGCCTGTACAGCATGCTACTGTACAAAGCACCATGAGATTAAATGAAGCACAAGAGAAAATTATGCAATTAGGAGACACCATAAACACAAAATATATGATGAGGTTGCTGCCAGCATAACACAACATACTGTTTTATAGCAAACTTATTTTATAAGTAGAAAGCCTATACTCTAAAATAATGACTCAAAGTATAGTAAATACATAAACCAGTAACATAGTCACTTATTGTCATTATCAAGTGTTATATACTGTGCATGATTGTATTACTGTACTTTTATATGTCTGACCACGCAGGTTTGTCTACACCAGCATCACCACAAACATGTGAATTAGGATGGCTATGATATCACTAGGCGGTTGAAATTTTTCAGCTTAATTATAATCCTATGGGACCATTGTTGTATATACAATCTATCATTGACTGTAACTTCATTATGTGGCACATGACTGTATGTTCACTTTTTAGTAAAATATATTTGATTAATTTCTATTGGGAGTTCACTTAGGCTCAGCTAATCATTTTTGTCATCCTTATCAAGTTCTAAATTAATTATTTACAATAGCTAAGATCTGGAAACAGTCCAAGTGCCCATCAGTAGATGAATGGATAAAAAGCTGTGGTATATTTACACAATAAAATACTGTGAAGCTGTTAAAAAGAAGGATCTCTGCCCAGGTGGCGTGTCTCAGTTGTGAGCATTGACCTATGAACCAGGAGGTCATAGTTTGATTCCTGGTCATGTCACATACCCAGATTGCCAGCTTTATCCCCAGTGTGGGGTGTGCAGGAGGCAGTCGATCAATGATTCTCTCTCATCACTAATGTTTCTATCTCTCCCTCTCCCTTCCACTCTGAAATCAATAAAAATATATTTTTAAAAAAGAAGGATCTCTTATGCTTTGAGACAGCATGGAGGGACCTGGAGAGTATTATGCTAAGTGAAATAAGCCAGTCAGAGAAAGACAAGTATCACATGATCTCACTCATATGTGGTATCTAATGAACGAAACAAGCTGATGAACAAAATAGAACCAGAGACATTGAAGCATGCAACTGACTGATGTATTTCAGAGACGGGGGCAGGGAAGAGATTGCCCAAAGAACTTCTGTGCATATATGCATAACCCATGGACACAGACAATAGTGTGGTGAAGGCCTGGGGAGTGGGCAGGAGTGGGGTGAAGGGGATCAGTGGCAGAAAAAAAGGGGACATCTGTAATACTTTCAACAATAAAAATAAATTTTTAAAAACACTTAAGGATTCCTTAGCAAAAAAAAAAACCCCAAAAGTTCTTAGTTAAACTTAAATAGGCCTATATAGTTTTACTAGTCCCTTCCAGTGCAGGGTAATTCAGCATCACTCTTGAATGAACCAACTGAAACTTGTAGGTACTATTAAGGACAAGGTTGCTCACTGGTCCTGCTCACATAGGATAGTGCTTAAACAAGGCCTGTTCCATATGATGTAACCACTCCTTACATTAGGCTATATGCGGTAGTAGGTCAAAGAGACTAATGTGGACACCAGGGAGTTTGTGCATTCATTCAACCAACAAATATTTATTAATTACCTACCATGTGCCAGAAATGGCCCTAGGTCCTAGAGACTGGAATATGATGGCAAGCTCAAATAACCATAACCCTTACCCTCACGGAGTTTTCATTGTACAAATAAAACCAAGGAAGTGTCTGCATAGCCATTAGTTGCAACCTAGCATAAAACAATCTATACCTTATGGATATCACAAGGCAAAGTCAAAGATGATGGGAAAAGCTCAAATTAGCTGTACAAATTCGGGTAAAAACCTGGGCAAATGTCCATGTGGTCATAAAATCAGACAGCATTAACAAATGAGTATTATCCTCACTTTATAAATATGGAAAGACAGAGTTGCTGAAGATCACCTGGCTATTAAGCAGTAGAGAGGGGATTCCAATCTAGAACTGACTGACTCCAGAGCCCACATGCTTTTCAGTGCCACCACATTATAGGACTGATGTCTGGTCCTAAAAATCTCAGGAAACAAAGTAAAGAACTTTAAGAATCTTCACATTTCTTTACTAAAGATACTAACCACCGCCACAGTCCATCCTCCTTAGTTCTGCCTGTTTCTAGATGGTGGGGCAAGAATATGGTTTTGATGGGGAGAGAGGAATGAAAATTTGGTGACAGGCCTCCAGGTTACAATAGCATAAAACCTCTGGGCTATGACCATTTTAGTGGGAAAACAAACTAAAATGTATATTTCATGAGGATCCTTTTGTAGTAAATTATTGAGAGGTGTGGGGAAAACACCAGAAGATTTGTGACTATCCAATGCAACAAAATTTTCTGAGGATTTGCAGTAATCCCTGGGGTTGTAAGGAATAATACTTGTCTACATCCTGTCAATAAAACAGCTAATTCTTATATGTATATACCCAGCTATAACAAGCAAAAATAAAATTTAGTTTCTTGGAAGCAAGAGACTAGCTCCATCCCTCTGATTTATTCAACTTGATACACTGATGGGAGGGAGTTTATTGCACCAGACTATATAAGGGGATTCCAGTTGAGAATTGGAAACCAAACTGCTTTAAGACCAAAGAATTCCCAAGGTTGTTCAGAATTTCCAACTATCATTCAGTTAAATTTTGGAAGATGCCAATTTGTTCTTCAGTCCCTTCTCCATCTCCCCCCCACCCCCCTCAAAATGACTCAGACGCTACTTAGTAATGCTCTGGAAAACTCTGTGTTTATGGCAGCTAGATTCTCTAGCCCAGTTGCCTGGTCCAAGTGTGTAGTATGTTTTTTGGTCTCCTCAATTACCCTGGCAGATCCTGCAGGGACACAATGTCCTCTTCATTTAAAGCCTGCTGGCAGGCTAAGTATAGCTAATGACCTCCAACATCTACTAGGAAAGAAAATGGTTCCCTTGTTTGATTTGTCATTGCCAGAGTTCAGAAATTCAGTATCATACAATTGATGACAGTCTTTTTCAGTTCTTTAATTATTTCCCAGAATGAGAGGTGTCTTCTCTTCTGAACTGGAAAGAATGGGGTAGGTAGAAAAAGAGCACACAATATGAGGAAGAAAATGTGTTTTCTAGCTTTACCTTCAGCTCCTTCGCCTACTGTCACTGCCACTACCACAACATCTTCCTGGGCAAGTCATTTATACTTTCTGGTCCTCAGTTCTTCAATAAAATGGAATAGCTTACTGATTTGAAAAAAAATGAAGGAAAAGTAGACTACATGAATGTATCATATTTTCATGGTAGTAGAAGCACAGACTTTGGAATTGTACAGATTGGGGTCTGGATCACAGCTTTGTCACCCTGTAGCTATATACCCTTGGCAAATGATTTAATCTCACTGAGCCTCACATTTCCTTCCCTGTAAAAGGAGAATTGATACAAATAATACCTACTTTATGGGTTTATTGTGGTGCCACAATCTGAGAATACATGGAAAATGCTTAGTTTAATAAGTTAACATGCTTCATTAAGAACCAGGAATAATGAGCTATGCTTTATGCAACCTTCTTTCTTTTATTCACATCACTTTTTGGTGTGTTAAGAATATTTATCAGGTACTTGTCAAAAAATGTACTGAATGCTTTATTGGACTTTCCCATAGAGGAGTGGGAAGATTCACAGGGCAATACCATGGAACCTCAGAAGCCTGGAAAATGATAATAGAACAGGGCAAGATATCCAAGTTTTTCCTTATTTTCACCCTATGTCCAACTTAACCCACATCCATTCATTCATGACTATAACAGAGAAATGTTTCCTGGAACCACAGACACCATTGGGATGATACGTATAAGTGTCAGGACTGCACGGCAGGTTTAACGTGAAAAAAAATGAGAACCAAGGACTCCTGGGTTCTCTGCTCTGCCTGTGCACTGAAACCTTCTGTACCTTCATTTTATATATTCCCTCTTTCTTGATTTCCCCAACCTCTTGCCAATCTCTGAGGAGGCTAGTCATAATTACAATATAATATTTGAAAGATAATTTGAAAAGGAAAAGCATTATTAACTACTAGTTGCAGTTTGTAAACAAGTTAACAACAGTTTCCCTTTCAGTTCCAGAAACATTACAAACCACTGCTGTAATTAGATACTCCCTGGCTTTGTTTTGATATTTAGGATCACAAGGGAAGTGTGTTGGCATCATTTTAGTATTTTGTATTTAAATTCAAGTAATGAGTCATTCACTCACTCCAGGGAGAGGCAGAGAAAGGAATGAGTTTAAGGGTCTCAAAAGTGACAGCAAGTAACCAAGGGAGGTTACACATCTCTTTCTGGAGCCCATGGACTGGACACCAATGTTTTACAATGGAAGATATGCTGAAGGGCAACGGATAAACAAGCTAGGTCCAGCTCACCTAGGGCAGTAGGTTTCTGGAAACAGTTTTAGTGGTCACAATTGTGGGAGCTGAAGAGGGAGTTAATTAATAGGTAGAGGCCAGGGATACTACTAAACATCCTACAAGGCACAGGACAATCTCCCAAATCAAAGATGTTTCCAGCCCAAAAGGTAAAAGTTTAAGGTTGAGAAAACCTGACCTAGAGAATTTTTTAATTCTTCCCATCCTAACAACTAGCAAACATACTTGAAGATCTTTTTTGTGGGCACCAGGGGAAATGCAAGCCATGGTCTCTGCCCTAAGGAAGCTTAAATCTAATAGGGAGACCAACCAAGCAACCAAAAGCTACTAGAAAATAAAGATATATATATATATTACATATGGCTTTTTTCCTCCTACATAGTATGGTATAGTAGCCTCTGGGTGCTATAGGAACTTTGAGAAGGAGAACAGCACCATGACAATCGTTCAGAAAAACTTAAGAGTTGGATATTGAGCTGTAATCTGAAGGAGAAAACTACACTTTTTCATCCTATTGTTGGGAGAAAGATGAATCTATGCTTACTGCCCACACTTTCTTTCTTCCTTCTTTCCTTTCTTTATTTTATCAGCATCTGGCAATCTGATTTCAGGACTCCACAGAAAATGTTCTCATGTAGGTGAATAATGACATATTAATCACCAGAGTCGATCACCTGTCCTTAATATTAATATTCCTCAATCCCCACCATTTTGAAATTTTCTTCTTCCTTGACTTTTATGACATCATCATCTATTCTGGTTCCTTTTAGATTTATTGGTGCTCAGCCTCAAGTTTCTTTCCATAGCTATCCTATACCAGTGTGCCTCAAACTCCAGTCTGAGGCCTTTTTCTCACTCACCATTTTCTCTTTATTAATTATTTTATTAATTCATTTATATCCACAAGGATACATAATTCCCCAAGGGATTTGAGATAGTTATAATTTCATGCTAAGCATTCTCCCTTAACTATCATACCCATTCCTTTGGTTTTACTGATCATTTCTATAGAGGTAAGTCCCCAAACTGTGCCTTGGACTCTGATATCCTTTCTACACACCATTCCTACCTGCCCAGCTACCTGCTGGAGACTGCCCTCAGACACCTCAAATGCAACATATTCTAAACCTAGGGTGACCAACTCATATTTTGCCCAGGAATTTCAAAGTTTTAGCACTGAAATTTTATTGTCCTTGGAATCCCCCTAAGAGCAGAAAAACTAGGACAGTAAGTCACCATGCCTAAAATGAACTCATGAGTATGTCCCCCTCCTCCTGACTCCCCTATATCATTTAATAGCAGAGAGAGCCTCAACTCCTCTTTACCTTTCATGCAATTGGTTGCCAAATATTGTCAATTCTATCTCCAAAATAGCTCCATCACCATCACCTCCTTTTAACCCCTAATGCTCTAATTCAGGTCCATATCATTTCTCACATGGAAATTTACAATAAACTACTAATCAGTTCCCCTGCCTCTAGTCCCTTCATAAACCCATTCCAATCCCCTTTGCCAATCATCTTCCACAGTCAACACTGATTATTCTGAAACACAAATTAGGTCATACACACATAGTTATCTCATCAATATGGAAGTATTGCAGTCTGAACCCCAAGAATAGTATTAAACCAAGGCTCCCAGGTATTTAAGCATAATGACTACACAATGTGATAACTAAGAAATGTTGCTATGACTAGCTAAAATGCACTCAGCAATAATGTAAGCTGTAAGTGAAAGGGAAAAGTAAAACAAACACCATACCTTTGAGAAGCCAGAAAATCTGAGAGTGTCACTTAGAACATCTCATTTCTTCAGAGAAGCGACAGTCACAGTTAAGGCCAGGAAGCATTGCCAGGGCATTCTGGGTAGTAGAAACCAGTTATGGCCTTGACATTCCTCTGAAACAGAATCAATTGGAAGTTACATTATGTATAAACTAAGCTCCAGAGAAAGTCCATTTGCTCCCTTTGTTCTTAACTTATCTGTGGCCCTCCTCCCAAATCACCACTGTTGCAAGAGCCATAAGTTTCCCACCACAAACTGGCAAAAAAGAGAATTTGCTTGAATAATGTGTATATCAGAGACAGAAAATATAAATTTCATTTGAATAATGGGAAGGGAGACTCAAAATTTAGATTATGAGAAGTGAAAACTGCCAGATGAAAAAGGCAAGTGTTCTTTCTAAAGGAGAGAGAGCTCATGTCTTTCTCCCTTAGCAAAACATAGCTATCCTCTGGCTGCTCTCAGACACTTGCAAGTAGGGAATTGTTTATGAAGGAACTCACCTTGGGAGTGAAGGGATAACCTTCACAGAGACTTTAGAAAAAGATGGCTATCAAAAAGGGTAGTGCCATAACCCAATCTTTTACCTCTCTAATGGTAGGAATTGCCATTGTAGTTAATTTCCTCTTCCTCCTGGGTATCTAAGAGATGTAGCCACCCAGGAGAAGGCTCCCTGCTGCTAGGGTCCTGCCTTTTTTGCCATGCTGTTTTTCTTTTTTTCTTTTTTGTTTTGTTGTTTTGTTTTTGTTTCGTTTTGTTTTTTACTTTTTCTGTCACTTAAGAGGACCCTAAAATACTTCATTTGTCTCCCAAAGACTTTGCTTCTGAAATTCATTCTCCCTTCTCTATCAGGGACCGTCCCAGTCAGGAACACATGACAACAACACACTCACTTTCATTGTTTAATAACAGCAACACTCTCCTTCTCCCTCAACCTTGGAGATAAAAGCCATGGTTTCTGCCCTACAGGAGTTTAAACTCTAATCAGGGAAGCCAACCAAGCACAACTGTGAACAAAGCATACCACATAATCATTTTTGCTATAGTTGCTACAGGAGAATGGGGAGGTCAGCACACACTGGAATCCTTAAGAAAACTCCCAAATTTTCAAAGAATGGAATCACAGTTCATTCAAGTGCACTGCAGGGAGAGGGATGTTTAAAGATACAAACAAACAAAAACCTCACAGAATTGGGGATGCTCACTTTTTCTCTCACTCACACATCTCACTTTGGTCTTATAATCTGGTTCATGCTTTAAGCATTAAGCAGCTTATTCCAGAGTAAATTATCTGTTGTCAACCCCTCTCTAGGCTAGAACCACTGTGTTCACTGCTCTATCCTGTTCATCCCCACACCTCTACCTCCAGCCCTAAACTTCAGTCTTTCCTTCAACATTAGAAGGCCCTAGACAAGTTAGCAAGAATAAGAATAAGATAAATACAAATATTTGGTGTTTAAGTGAACATTCACTATGTACTAGGCACAGAGCTACATTCTATGCATTGTCATTACCATTCCAAATAATTTAACTACCATTTTTAAGAGTTTCCTATATGCCAGGCATCCAAACACTGTGCTAATAACTTTTTATGCATAGTATCTCATTTAACCCTCACAACAAGGCTAAGAAACAGACAATATTATTATTTCTATTTTACAGATGGTGTAACTGAGACACAAAGGAAGTAAAGAGACTTGTCTAAGGTGTCTAAGGGCACACTGTTAATAAATGCCAAATCCAGAATTTGACCTCAGCTCTAACTCTAAAGTCTACATACCAGAGACTGTGTGATATGGTGTTTAGAGTGGGTAGGGAAGGGGGTCAACAAACTTTTTCTGTAAAGGTCAGATAGCAAATATTTTTGGCTTTGTACGCCATATGCTCTCTGTTGTAATCACTCTGCTCTGCCACTATAGTGCAAAAACAGACATCTATAATAATAAAACCATAACATGCTAATTAGACTGGACGACCTTTCAGACGTCCTTCTGTCCTTCCAGATAAAGCCAGGGCTGCGAGGGAAGCCTGGTTCCCAGGTGCCAGAGGAAAGCCGGTGCCGGCAGCCAGGGGAACGAAGGCCTACTCTTGAACGAATTTCGTGCACCAGGCCTCTAGTAGAGAATAAGTAAACAAGTGAGAGTGGCCGTCTTTCAATAAATCTTTATTTACAAAAACAGGTAACTGACTAGATTAGGACCCCAGGCTGTGGGCTGATGACTCCTGGGGTCAGAGTATCAAATGTATCCTCAGATAGACCTGGGTTCAAAACTTGGCCTCACCACTTACAAGAGTCTCTCTGTGTCTCAGTTTCTTCATCTGAAGAACAGCAATAATAACTATGTCATAGAGTCATTGTGAGGAAAAGAAAGAAGAAGAAGAAAGAAAGAAAGAAAGAAAGAAAGAAAGAAAGAAAGAAAGAAAGAAAGAAAGAAAGAAAGAAAGGAAAAAAGGGAAAGGAAGCGAGAAAGAGTATTTGGCACATAGTAAATAAGTCATTAATAAAAACCCATCACAAGTTTGGTCCCTAGAAGGACAGGGATTAAGATAGTACCACTCGCTTTAAAATCAAACCCATCAGAGCCCTGATGGTCTTGATACACAGAAGCAGGATTTTGGTTCATTTTATTCTCCCTTCAGCTGCATAAATCATGTTCTTTTGTGAGGTTACATTCCTGTTTTAGTCCTTAGTGAGAGAGTCTCCTGATTTTATTGCAGTTCTAGTCAGGCCCTTGGAACCCCATCATTGGAGAGCAGAAATATAATTTTATCATTATTTGTTAGGTGTTTCCTTAAGGAATAGGATTCTAGCCACTGGAGTCATGTCTGTGTCCCAAGCACCTGGCACAGAGTAGGTGCTCAGTACATGTTGCTGGCTTAATTGAATTGGCTTCAAAATGGTCCTGCTTGGAAGCAGAAGGAAAGTGGCTTCTTAAAAGCTCTTCAAGCATTGAGGATCCCTGTTTTCAAAGAGAGAGGGAGAGAGGGGGGGGAGAAGAGAGGGAGAGAGAGAGAGAGGAGGGGAGACAGTGTAGGAGTATAAAGGATGGTTGCAGTAGGCAGGAAAATGCAGAACATCCTGTTCTTCTGTTACATTAAGCACACAAGAGTCATGCTGCACTGGTCTCTCCAGGTCATGCCCCTGGAAAATCATTCTGTAAAAGCCACTTTGATGGAGTTTATTGCTTTGATCTAAAATCATACTCATAAAATCTTCTATCTCAGCTTTAAGGAACCCCCTGAGATACCACTCCTTGTCATCCAGCCCTGAAAAGGTCATCCTTCCTTTGATCCTGACTTGCCAATCTTTCTCAATGAAAACTTCTTTTCTCTATCTACCAAGTTGCCTCTCTTCCTCTAAAATGTGTCTTGCATAATAATCTGCTTTTTCATTCTGGGATTTGTTAGAGTTATTTATAGGATCTAACTGTACAATCAGGATGGTACTGTTTCCAATTGAATGTACCTCCTTAATGCACCCTTAGAACATTCAGAGGAATTGAAAATGGAAGCAGTGCTGATGTGTGCAAATTTCCTAGGTGAGATCTGTGTCAAGTCATGTACATAGACATTTCAAGACTGTCTATCCAAGAAGCAACAATTTCCCATCCTATATAATAAAAGGTTAATATGCATTGACCCTAACAGCAGAACGACTGGGAATGACTGGTCACTATGACACACACTGACCACCAGGGGCCAGATGCTCAATGCAGGAGCTGCCCCTGGTGGTCAGTGTGCTCCCACAGGGGCAGCTCTACTCAGCCACAAGCCAGGCTGATGGCTGCCAGTACAGTGGTGGTGGCAGAGCCTCTCTTGCCTCCTCAGCAGCGCTAAGGATGTCTGACTGCAGCTTAGGTCTGCTCCCCGCTGGCAAGTGGACATCCCCCGAGGGCTCCCGGGCTTCCAGAGGGATGTCTGACTGCCAGCTTAGGCCCGATCCCCCGGGGAGCAGGCCTAAGCCAGCAGGTGGACATCCCCTGAGCGGTCCCAGACTGCAAGAGGGCACAGGCCAGGCTGAGGGGACCCCCCCCTCCCCGAGTGCACAAATTTTTGTGCACCGGGCCTCTAGTCTTATAATAACAGCCATAATGATGAAAATAGCTAACATTTATTTATTGCTTCTTCATCTAATCTTTACAATAATCTATGATGAAAAAGTGACAACATTTTTCCTTATTGCCAGGGGCTGAATTAACTCTCTTAATCTTCATAATGACTCTATAGCATGGGTTACTAGTATAATCCTCATTTTTCAGATGAGGAAACTGAGAGCCAAAGAGATTAAGCAACTTGCCAAGGTCACCCAGCCAAGGAGTTGTAGAGCTGAAATTTAAATTCTCAAGTCTTTCTGTATGACTACAAAGACCATGCTACTACTTTACCTAATTAGAAATGTTTGTGCTTACAGCCTACATTGCACAGTTAAGCTAACAAAAATGTTTGAGGAATGCCATCTTCCATTTTGAGAATGTTTCAAAGCATTTTGCCACCCATGATCCATTTGATCATCATGGCAACCCTATGAAGAAGGCAGGGTAGGTGGCAGAACCACCATTGCACAGATAAAGACCCAAACATAAAGTCTTGCCCCAAGTCTCACTACAAATCAGAGGCCAGACCAGAGTCAGAGTTCAATATATATGTTTTCAAAATGTGTTATTTATTATAGAGAGGGGTTAAGTTTCCTCCACATCCTTTTTTTTATTTATTTCATGCTGAAAATTTTAAAGGAAGTGGGCAGCTCACAACAGGTCATGAAACTTCTAGCCAAGACATCTAAAAATGTGAAAACTACTGGGCATACCTGACTTAATCTCCCATTCACCCCAATCCTTCAGGATTCACAGTACCTGAACACATCCTATAATCCAAAACAGGGAGGAGGGGAACATGGTCCTTAAGAATTAGATACACTGAAGGCTTACCATAGATCTCTCCATTGTTTTATTTATTGAACAATTACAGGTCCACAATTCTAAAATCTACCAATTTCTGAAAAACAAAAGAAAAATTAATACATTTTCTATCAAAACTCATACAATGGCAAACCCTGAGAGAAACTGATGTGGGGAAATTTATGGTCTTGATTTAACCCATTGCATCTAAGCAT